TCTTTCTCTTCCTCCTCTTCTTTCTCTTCCTCCTCTTCTTTCTCTTCCTCCTCTTCTTTCTCTTCTTCCTCTTCCTCCTCTTCTTCCTCTTCCTCTTCATTTCCCTTCTCGGATTTTTCTTTCTCCTGAAGCCGCTCCCACCGGTCCATGTCTCCGTAGGACGTCAATTATTTCGAGATGTCGCTTGAAATATCGAAAAGTTTGTTTTTATTGCTGTCATTTCGTATGTATGGATACTAACTCGTATCGAGGTCTCGAGACCAAAATCGGTATCGTTTTAAAAGGAACTTTTTGCAGCAATCAACAACAATACCGAACCTCTGCGCATGCGCCGTTGGAGTTGCGCTGCGTTGTGCAAAAAGTCCCTAAGAAGTCTAAGACTACAGGCTTATAATAAATCTATTATTACAATCAACATTTGAACACTAGTGAGTTTCCCTCCTCTTATGAAAATATGGGGTATTGTTTACGGATAAATCTTTATTCAAAAAGTAAGACCGGCTGCGACAGCTCGGTACCAACCCCATTGCCTTAGTAACATCGTTGCCGAAGAGGCCCTAAGTTTAGGGTCCCGTCGTGGCGGATTATTGAGATACATAGCAGGATCGAAATCAACCTCTGTCTGGAAGAAGAATTATGTCGACTAGACCCTCTGCTACACACTACCACATATGTAGATAAACAAGTCGATAGCTTGGTGTTTGTTCCGTCTGGGGCGGTGGTAGGGGGAGAGGAGATACATGGAAAGAGGGGAAAAACACGAGATGACCTGTAGGTTGGCGCCGGATCTCACGGTCTGATGTGGGGGGGGAGTTACACCGCAATTTGTCGGGATATAATATACACTGCACTTACGGGGCGAATGACGTGGAGTGATGTAGTTGATGAGCCTGGAGTTAATACTACTCTCACTCATTTATTCACTCGCTCACTCAACAAGTAAAGAAATTAAAATGTTAAAAGTAAAATCATTTTAGTTTGTGTACTTAAAATCTAATCGATACGGCACGATATTGGACTATCGATCCTTCAGATTCGATAATACTACTGATATTACACGCGATAATTAATTTCCATTCCTCATATTTAGTTGAAACGAGTATCGCAACATCCATTCGTCAGCCAAAAGTGTCTCAACCGGCCCACCTTTCAGGACGGCGACGCGCCCGTGCGACCTCTCCGTTGAGCCGGCCGATTATTGCCAGCAAGAAGCAAACCGGCGCGCCCTCCCACGCGCATACTCCGGGCCATAGAAGCTCCTCCACGCGGATGTTTAGCGTAGTTTTGTAATTTTCTTGAATAACATTCTAGGAGGCCGGTCCGGAAGGCCGAGATCGCTAAGACAGTTGTGTTGTAGCGATCTCGGATCTCGGACCGAAGGATCGCGGGTTCGAGTCCCGCCTCGGGCATGATTGTATTGTGTTCGTCAATTCACCCCCTATCATCATCATCATCATCATATCGTGTCATCCTCATAGATACTAAACCGTTACACGCAATAGTGGTCGCTAATGACCTAGTAGTTGATGCGACCTTAAATAACAAAAAGTCAGTTTAGCACAGTGTCAAATTATCATACTGACCAGCATGTGGCTGTTGGAATATTTTGACCAGCAAAAAAAAAATCATTTTGGAGAACTCACTTACTTTTGTTTTCAGCTCAAACAGCGCAGGATTTCCTGAAGCAAGTGGACAGCGCATGTGTGTTTCACAACGCCAGTTCTCGGTTCGCCGACGGCTATCGCTTTGGACTTGGTGAGTAGCTGAAAATAAACTAGAATTTTTAAAACTGTAACATTTGTAATACGCCAGTGTGTTTTGTCACAAAACGATGACATCCTTTTACTTTTAACTAGTAGTGGCGCCTCTAGTGGGTAATTTCATGTCATTCTTGTTATTGCTGAGGAAGCTCACAATAAAAATAAAGTTAAATCATAATAGTGGCCTGGCTCGACCACCGTCGGGCATAAAATGTTACACGAAAAAGTATGGACCGAATAACCTTTTCTTCAATTTATTTTTATGCTATGTTTTGTTACAATGTTCTAAAACAATGTAAAAATGATTGTTATGCTGGAAAGGCAGTGTAGTAATTTACAGCGATTCTGCACAGTATGTGCCTTGACTATCTCAAACATACATACGCACACACACACACACGCCACTTTTTCTAGAATTCTTCCTGCAACTTCTAGAATGATCAGGCTAAAGGAAGGATATTGCCATAGTAAAAAATGTAATTTTTGAATGATTATGGCGTGAGTTCGGAGATATCGAAACAATGTCATGTTCACATCTAGCAAAAACAAATTATTGTATGTTTTATTTATTTACTGGAAACGTATTTCATACGTAAATAAACAAGTTTCACGGGGGCTCGAAGGGGCATAAAAACAGTGAAAAACACTTCACCAAACGGGAAATTAGAAAAAACAAACCTTTAATTTTCTTAATTAAATGATGATTTGATGAGAACGGCTTTTACGCCATATAATTCAGTGTATTGTGGTTCATCCTTACAGAAATTTTAAATAAAAATTTGGAGACGTGTTTGAGAAAATCTTGCATGTATTTTTAGGAATTTATCACAAATTAACTCAACTTTATGCGCATGTTAATAAAACATTATAGGCGTATTTTATAATTTATTGCGTGTCTTGTCACGGATGCTTCAAACGATCTCTTATAAAATTTCTCTGATGTTTTCGAGGCAATCATTTCCTTTTTTGTATAAATAAATCCCACTTTTTTATTGAATGATTTGAATTTTCAAAAAAAGAAAATTTTTTAGATATAAATTTTCTGCGCTTTGTGTGGTGATCTTTTTTCAAGATGTGGCTGAAGTATTATGAGGGATACAAGATGCGATATTAAAATATTTAATATCGCATAGTAACAGTTAAAAATAATTCGAGGTCACATGTGCTGTTGTAGCAGAAACTAGTTTTGTCATTGAAGCAGAAATGACAATTTTTTTTCCTTTTTTTCCCCCGCCAGTTTAATGCGTTTGAAATGTCGTAACTAAGCTCTCACATCAATTTACAAGTTTTTACATGATTAACTCCTTGTTACGAAATCACAAAAACCAATTGTTGCGATTTGAGTTTTTAAAATCTGCTGAGATAACGAGTAATGAATGTACAGAGATTCTAAACAAGCATTGCTTTGCCAAATAAGGTATAGCTTCTGGATAGTAGCATAGCCGTAGCGTGTTACGGGTTTGTCTACGACCCACCCTTATTCGATTCCCTCGTTCCCGGTAAGCTACGGCCTCCGCGTTCTTGTTTGCCCAGAGGCTCCCTCAATCAGATAAGATGCAACTAGCGCCGTTTTCTCCAGAACGCTCCTTCCTTCTGACAAGGATTCCTATCGTGAGGTCGTTATCGGCCGCCTATTCGCGTAAATTGGCCCCACCACCCGCTCAAAGGAATACGGTGGGCTGAACTGCGTTTCTGATGGAAGAAAATATTATTGTTGAATTACGTCACGAAGTACTCGACTTCTGTTAACAAAATCCACAAACTGTTCAAATCATTTAGGATCAGAGAGTAAATCTTATTGGATATCAAGGTCATTCCAGCAAAGTGTCGTATCAAAACTTTTCAAGTCTTTCGGTTTGAAAAATGGAATTGACTGGTTGCCTAAAAATGGCTAAATGGCGCCTACTATCTTTCGTATTAGATTTTATACGACCTCACATACCGAAGAACGCTTTATCTAGCTTACGTCCTTTTAAATTCTCGAACTTTATTCATTTATTTGTAGAGAGTGTCTGATCAATGAATTCTTCTTGGAACTTGTAAGCTGTAGATTCTAATATTCACCACGTTGACTTTTCAGTCAATGTGACTCCTTCGCCGAAAATATGTTCTTTGATGCTTCGATCATCAAAATCCGTTGATTGGTTCGTGGCGAAAGAAACTTGTGTCCACGCTAGGGAACATTCATTTAAGAATATCATTATAAAGCACTTACGTCCATTGCAAATTATAATATATAGTGTAATGAGTAATTCTCAGGTTTGTGTACTTTCACAGTCTATATTAAGGAATATTTTATTAGATTTGATTTATTTAGTCAAAGAACGGTAAAACTGTATATGACGTATGTAAATACCATCTGCGCACGTTTTGTAGAGATCTAGAATCTCTTCTTAACATTATAACTATGAATAATTGAATGTGAAAATTGTTTTTGGAAGCGAAGTTGACGATATTTGTCTAAAAACTAGATATTGTTTTCTTCCGATTTAGAGAAAATTTATTGGCATCAGTAAACAAACAGCAGATTTGATATTTTTGTATTGCTAAGGAAATAGTAATCTGGCTTTACTACTCCCACTTCTAGCAAAAGAAGAGCTTCATAAAACTTGCGCATTGTGAAGCTATGTCCAGAAGCAAAACAAGGATCCATCTCAAAATTTGCTCAATGGATGAGGAAAACGGGACAAAAAACTGATCGTAATAAAAATCAATGATCGGGAAGCTGAAATACAGTACTTATAAAAAAAATTTACATGTTTTTAAAGGTTTCACAGCCATTTTTGAAAGTATTTTTTTATAATACAATACAAATGTAAACTAATGCATTTTTGTACTTTTTGTGGTTGCTTTTCAAATACTACTGTGGGTAATATACGGTAACGCTAAACGGAAGCACATAAACATCCATGCCCCGGGCGATTTTCGAACCCGCGACCCTTCAGGCTCGGCACTTCAGCCTTAGGGACCTCTGCTTCTCAGGCCGCCAAACTGATGAATTATATATCATAGTTACAATAAATATTATTTTTCTCTTTGATGGTCAGTATAGTCTCTAATTGTATAGGACCAGTTATGCAGTTATAGTTTGTATCAAAACACTAATTTTTAATCTAATTTGAAAGTTGTGTACGAGTGACACACACAGAGTAGTTTTCACACGTTCTACTTCCTTATGTATCCTTCACGCTGTTGCCAAGGGAATGATGTAGCAGGTCTCGAATCGGAATTCTGGTTCAGGGTTACCGTCGCCCTCGAATTCAGAAGAATTTTGTCGTGTGTTAATTTTTACGAATACCTAAGATTTATATGTGCCATTACTAAAGATTTATACTATGTGCCATTGAAATGTTGAGAACAAACCACTTATTAGTTCAAATATTAACCTCAGCCTAACATTTGATCTTAAGGTGAGAGAACCTTAGAGATTATTTTAGAAAGTAATTCGAGGCTGGGGTTCATTGGCCGTGGTGTAAAAAAATTAAGTACACAGGCAAAAACTATAAATTTTAACTTGTATTTACTACATTGAAAAAGTTAATTGAACTCGTTTTCTGCCACGTGCAGCGTTTCCTTTGTACAGTGGACCGGACTCCTAAAATTCTTCAATGTTTGCCATTCATTTTCTGTTATTAACAGAATCTCGGTTGCATATTGTTGCTGTTATTGGGAGTTATTACTTCTAAAACATAGCAAGGCAAAACCTGAAAGCAGGGTTTTGTTGTTACTAACTTGATATTTTCATTTATTTGTTCAAAAGGTCCTTGTTTTTCATTGCGATTAATTCCATAGATAGACTCGTTTCGTACATTCGCAAGTAAAGACCGTGTAAATTAATCAAAATTAGAATTTCCCGGAGAATACAGATTTTAAGTGAGCAAAGCGTCTATATGCAGTCGTTAATCACGAACATTATTCAAAAAAGGGTTCCTCAATATGAAAGAGAATGTAGGTGCTTTGAAATGTAGGGTTAATTGAGGTAAATGAAAAGTGTTTTCACTTCTGAAACTCTAATATTTCGGTCCCCAAAAGTTTTTTGTTGTCCATTTTATGTAAGATATTCCTATCTCTCTCGTGGACATTGCCGAAAAATGTTTAATTAAAGCATAACTTATTTTAAGGTAAAAGCTTCTCTAGCATTGTGTTTACGTTTGCCCCCACCTGCCGGGGCAAATGTGGACAAGTAACTTCTTTCTCATTTAATGCAGTAATCCAAACTATGAGAAAAGGGAAATTAACTTTACACAGCCGAAACAAGGTAAACACGTGCTAGGACTTGAATGACCTCCCCAAATCGATTGTACCCGAGTTTGTATCGACTCTTGACACCCTAATGTCTCCAAATTGTAAAAATACCGCGTGTGTTTTAATTTCATTTTAGCATTTACAATTACCACTGTTTACATTTACACTAATTAACACTTCATACTAGATTTATCCTATATGGTGCTTTCGTTAGAGGTAACAGAAACCAAAGTGTTAGTAGTATTCTTGATTTACATATACAGTGACACTGCAGCTTAGGTTGATTTACTTTGGAGCAGAAGTTTTACCACATAGAAGTGCTCTGCGCTTCACTTGGTTTGTTCCTGACATTGAATAAATTTGTCATTCATAGAGTTTTGACTGTTGTTAAAGTTGTTAACTTTTGGCAATATACTACACAAACGTACTACAACATCATTAATTCAAATAAATCCATTTTTACATTAGTATTTTCGTATAAATATCAAAGAAATATTTTTGTATATAACATAAAAATAAGAACTCTATGCCAAAAGTCCCAACATTCTTATTACGTTTGCTCTTTCTGTGACTTTGTACAGTGAGTATTCAGTTAACAATCCAAGAAGGAGATCGGAATCTACAATCCAAAAAAAAATAGGTTTCGAAGCCCACTCATGTTTTCTTTCTACGAATCCTCAAAATTAAGATGAAGATCCTTATTTTTTGGTGCATTTTTCCTCAATTCACAATCATTTTTATCTTATATTCTAGATGAGTAATAAAAAATGTTTTTACACCCTGAAATAGTATCAATTTTATATTTGTGTGCCTACAGAAACTACAGTTTGAGTCTCCGGTTTATTACCCGAAGTTTACTTAGGTACTGAACGTCACCAAGGTACCTCACGTTTAGCACAGACTTTGTCAAGCAAGCAAGGAAGGTAATTGCGGATTTATAGTTGCTTTCCAAAAAATGTCATATGTTTTTTTCGTCGATATATTATTTTCATTTAATATTACACTACTACATGCTTCTCTGTTTCATCTGATATTGCGAAGCGGAGATGGAAATTATAGCATTAAAGTACCCAATTGTGGTCAGAGCAAAAAAGAGCAAGAACTTAAAAGTATTCTGTTTCTATCCGATTGGCATATCGTATGAAAACTAACAATTATATATTATTTATATGACGGGTCTCATACGCTGGTTTTATGCCATGCCCACTGAAAATTTTCAAAGAACCAGAGAGCTAGAAAAGGGTGTCAATCGAAGAAGGGAATGAAATTTTCAAAATAATGAATTTTGAACGCGGTGTTTGGTACAAACGCACAAGAAGACTGAATTCGTCACTATGATATATTTCACTATGATATATTTATAAGTGAGAAACAGATTTTACAGCATCAGTATTATTTTCACAGCATACATCTTTAATTTCACAATAAACATCTTTTGTAATAATGAACAATCCAGAATTAGCCACTTTTGTACTGTAATCGATAGTGAGAATAGTAATGTATTATACAAAACGTGTAATAACATAAGATGAGAATGTGACTAAACACGATTCCATTACTTTCAACCCTTCCCGTATATATCGCTTGGCCGTCATTACATACGCCCCCATTTCATTCACTGTGTATAGAAATGGGCGGTTGAAACCGGAACATGAAGTACAAAGTCCTTCCGCGAAGCCCTTCATGGCAGCTAGAAATGGAGCGAGACCCGCGTCCACCGCAAGCTGAAAAAGAGTGAGGCCGGGAAACCGTGGAAAACACTTGTTTGCTTGGAGCAGCGCTCTCTTAAGCGAATGCATTTCATGCTACGTTCTTGTTTATCTAACATCTAGATTTAATGAAATGTTTATGTGCGGTGCACAACAAAGACATCACGTCTATGTTACGAGCGGTCATTGCACGCTCTAGTAATAGCCTTTCTTCCCAGTTGTGCTTTCGTTTCTGTAAAAAGAAAGTAATTGTACAGTTTGAAATTGAACAGAATGAAAATGTAAAACACTTTCGTAAAAATATACTGTGTGTTGTAAAGAGCCAATGGGTCACATATATTTACGTGTATCCTAAGGATTCTCTTGTGAGATAATACGTTAAGCCGTATGGATCTTTGTCTTCGATCAGTTTGATACATTAAGAAAACGTTGAATTGGCCCCTTCTTTGGATGTGAATTCCTAGTGTATACTTCGTTTTAAATAGAATGAATTCTAATAGATCATCAGCTGCAGGCTGTTATACAATCGGAAGCTTCATTACGTCAATGTTTGATATTGAAGCTCCCGACTGGATAACCGCCTCCAGCTGATGATCGGTCAGAAGTCACTCTATTTCAATAGAACTAGAGATTCCGTCCCTCCCAATTGTGAAACGCACTTTTTTCTTTCTTGATAAATAGAACAAAATTTATGCGTCCGGGCACAATACTCATCAACTTTTTGTTGTATACCAATTAAAATACGATAATTTGCCTTGCGTTCGTTTGGCAACGCATGAGCTTATACTTCGATTGAAATATTGAGTTCTGATAGACTCAGTTACCGCAGTTATCCAATCGTGAGATTTGTTACGACTTAAATTTATGGTTATTTCTATGTGCAGTTCTATCCTCATACATTCAAGATAATCAGATCAATTCGTATTGTAAATTAATTATTTTTAATGGCATTTTATTAAATGTTTGGCATTGAAGCTCCCGATTGGTTATCCGCGTCAGATCTTATGATTTGTCAGAAGTCACACTATTTAAATCGGTGTATACGAGTGCGACTGTTGGCGCGTGTGTGTTCGCAGGCGCGGAGGTGGGCATCAGCACGGCGCGTATCCACGCGCGTGGCCCCGTGGGCGTGGAGGGCCTGCTCACCACCAAGTGGGTGCTGCGCGGGGATGGCCACGCGGCCGCCGACTTCGGCGAGGGCGGCGGCGCCGTCTTCACGCACGAGACGCTCTCCATCGACTAAGCGCCCCGCCCCCTCCTTCCCCTAATTCCCTCGGCACCACGATCTGATCACGTGTGCAGTTGGCACGTGCTGTTCTGGAGCACTGGACTGGAACGATGGTCTTCCGTGGTGTATGCCATGTTTGAAGAAAGCTCTCAAAGTTTTGTCTTCATTATGGAATGAAAGCCTAAGGCGGTGTATGGGGGAGGCGGAAAATTAGTCTGCACTCGGGACTCGCCTCTTCATAAGATCTACTGAGTGGTCCCTACCTGATGGCCTCATCAGCCAGGGAAATACCTACCCGACTGCCGAGGAAGCTCCACCTACCGAGGACACTCCCACAGTTTTACTGGTCTGTCTTAGACCTTAATAACTTTACTTCGCCACTGAGAGAAGTGATAAATGTTTACTGCAGATACGTGTGAGAATACGTGTAGGAATTTCGTATTCATTTTAATCGGTATATGTCAGAACTGTTTATGTCATAGTTTGGCGTTCGAGTACGGACGGGAGAGGTACGATGTTGCTCTTCGCGTAACTTCATATATCTGTGAAGAATGTCCTTCACTTCACCCAACATGGTTGCTGTTAACATTGGACAAAATGTGTGAGAATTTCTTTACTAACTTGTATGTTCATTTTCTCACGTAAAACAGAGGATACATAAAGAAATTAAATTTCAATATCAGTGCTAAAAATATTAAATAAATATATTTAACATTCTGAAAGGCAAGCTAGTTCTCCATATTTGTTTCAAGATTCTGGACTTGTGCTGCACAAGAAACGTTTGCAGTAATGAACATGTTACATATTGTAAAGATTTAACTCTCCTAGCTTTTGTTTCTTGTTTTTCTCTTCCATTGACCTCCTTATATTTCATCTCTCAACCCTCAACTCGTTCCTTACAACTCTATTATTTGTATTTGCACACTCCTGCACTCTTGAAAGTGTGGGAAATTTTATGAAATGTTGGCAATGTAATGTTTTAAATTTAGATATACATTCATTTTTTTTTAAGAAAAATATTAATGTTATGTTGTAGATAAATAAATCTTAAGTCTTGATATCATAATTCAAATTTTCAAAGTTTCATGTTGTATAAATGATCATTAAATGTTTATTTGTTCCATTCATAATGCATTAAATTAATAATAATTCACCTCCAATAATCACTGTATTAACCGTGAACGCTTTTACCAGTTATACCAGTTGTTGGCCTTCTTCGACTTTCATGACAAAGAAGGCAAAGTGATATCAACACTACGCTTGTACACTTCGCCACATTTTTTCATGATCACATTGGAATATTACCTCAGAATAAAATTAAATTGAAATAGTTATACAAATAAAATAGTTTTAATGGGAGACATAGAAAATCGTTATCATAAATTTATTGTAATATTTTTTTGCAAGAACTAGTCGATTAGTAGAGAAAATGATCGAATTATTCGAAGTTCTGTGGAGAATCAGAGCTTTAAAAACTCCACTATTGCTCCCTGGTACATTCCACTTCTAAGACATTCACCGCACTGTTGACGGTGAAGTATGTTTTCCTTGAATCTACAAAGAAATCTTGTGTTTGATATCACATTCTGGTAGCACACAGATGTTCAATTCAAAGTACGGTCGATGACTCGAGGAGTGGAGCGCACGTAATCGTCTCATTAAGACTACTGACGGATTATTTCGCTCGCAAAACGGCCACAGAAAATCACGCAGTTTGAAATGCGATGAACGCCAGCTCTCTTTTCTTTCAGTCTGTAAAATTACTTTACAGTTGAAGAAATATGGTACCGTACAATTTTTCCATTCCAAAAACTGCAATGTGCGAGAAAGAAAAAAGAACGAAGAGATGTCGAAATGGAGCAGCAACGTTGCATCAGCCTTGTATGTGACATTATCATGACGTCAGTCAGCTTTCTCTGATGAGTTGCAAATGTGGTGGAAAGGGATGACCGGGGTAGGTCAGAAGTGTGTTGTCATTTCTGTATGAAGGCTTTGTACAGTAATCCATATGTTGTGTTTTATTATTTGTTGTCTAATGTAAAAAGTGTAAGAATAAATTATAGTGTTTTCAAAAAAATGTATTTATTATTATAGAATTATCTTATATGTTTTCAACTGTCCGTTTCTTTGCTCAGAGCCACTGTTTATGCAACTACTCTGACTGCGACGTCTTAGTGTTCGAGTCCCGCCGGTGGCGGATTTTCGACACTAGCTAAATAGCTAGATTGGATCCAGCCACTGCCTGGAGGAGAAGTCTAACGGCCAAGTGCTGTGATCTGTGAATGCCGGAGCAGTACCGTATTAAACGAGCCACGGACTGCGCGTGACCTTTCCTTCCTCTTCCTATCCTCTTCCTTCCTACACACACACACACACACACACACACACTTACATTATCCCGGGAGACCAGCCGGGAGCATGGCGCTTGCGCCGGCTTGGGCGGTGCCCCACTAGGGGAGATACGTGAGGTCCACTTCGATCAACACAAGGCGAATGCCGGAGCAGTACCCTAACAAACAAGCCACGAACCGCGCGCGATCTTTCCTTCCTCTTCCTTGGCCTGTCCTCACACCTTACTTACACTTACTTGCATTACATCAACACATGCTGAGAGATAGGTCGGGAGCTTAGAGCTTGTCCCGGCTGGGGTGGTGCCCCCCTGATAGGAGATACCTGATTGATGAAAACCCCGCTAGACGACGGTAGGTCGGCGCCGGATCTCACCATCCACTGGGAGAAGACCACCGCCACCTCCCAAGGGAAAACAACATGCACTACCCTTACGCTACTGATGACCTAAAGAGTTGACGCGCCCGGAGTGATTAACAATCAATGAATCATCATAAAAGTTTTTTAGGAAATGGCCGTCATGTTAATAATTTTTAGGCCCCTTGGACTTTGAGGCCCCAAGTTCTTGCTTAATTAGCTTAACCGTAAATCCGCCGCTGCGTAGGCAGCAGACGCGTACGTTAGCGGGCGCGTGGGGCTCCTTGAAACCGCCGTCGAATGCGTGTTTGTTTACTTAACCGCGTGGCTGCCTTGGCAGCGCGATCTTCGCACCCGGATCGCGTAGGGAGCGGTCGGGGCGCTTCTAAGCCTGTGCGCCGGCCTGACGCACATTTAATGAGGTTCTTCATCTCCGGCGAACTTTTCCACCCAAACGCGCTAAACAACGCCTCGTCTGTTGTCCTGGCTTATCCTTTCCCCCTTTTTTTCAGGAGTATTAATGCAGTTCAAGCGGGCGCTTTCCAGGGGAAGTTAGTCACTCTTCCCGAAATCAGGGGTTGCCGGTTCGAAGCTGACACGCTTAGTTTGAACCGGTTGGAGGATTTTTTTTTTTTTGAGTTGATCTCTGTCAAACACGACTATGGTTCCAGTTAATAGAAATACGATTTACACTCGTCATTCTACCATATCATTATATCTTGTGAAGTGATATCAAACAAATAACCAATTTTCAAATATTTTTGGGGCGTTTTCCTACAACTTAAATGTTGAAGATAGTTCAATATATGCAATCTTGATCTAGCAATGTGCACAGGAACAAATTTTCCAAAATGTGAGTCATTTTCTCGTAACAATATTTTGCGTGGAATATTTATAAACATATTTCTAACCACTCCAAACTTTTTCTTTAAATTTTCTCCTTGAATGTATCACAGATATGAAAAAAACTGGTGCTTTTGACATTTTAGGGCAAGTCATTATTTTCAGAAATTGCAAAAAAAAAAAATTTAACAGTACAATTTTAAAGAAGGTTTTTTCCTGAAAGGAAATGTGTTTTAAAAAATATAATGTTGAAAATATGTATTTATGTTTTTAAATGAGCTGTTTTTGTATAATTTCTACTTGACGTTAATGTAGTTTATAAGAAAACGTTTTCTCAAAAACGGTCCAAATTTTTCATATATATTTTTTCAGGGATTGAGCGAAGGACGCTTAAAAACGGCACAGGATTCACTTTCATTGACCACTCTGAATTTTCTAAACTTGCAAAATTTATAAATAATGGTAGAAAGTATGCCCTGTTGCAGCACCACTAGTTTCCTAAAGTGATGCGTCTTAATCATGTCTATTTATTTTATAATTCATTCTTTCCTCAAAAATACAACAAATCCAGAATGGCATATATGTATATCTATTGATTTACTTTTACCTCATACTGTATTAGTAGCATTTAAACAATATTGCTAGCCTATTTCGAGTTTTAAAATTAGATTTAAAAAATCAATTAAATCAACATTTCCTGCAATACGCAGACAAGGAAACTCCATAAATTTCATTATTTTCATGTTTACTATAATTACGTGCTAATCCTGTTGGGGTTAACGAAATCGTGAAAATACTTCTAAATCAAAGATAAATGTTTTTCAGTTGACGTAGAGGTAGAGATTGATTTTTTAAAGTAAATTTCATTAATTTTAATGAGCTGCTGACCTGTATATGGAACAAAAAAATACTGTCTGAAAATCAAAAGGTGCTACATTCGCATTCCTTGAGAAGCTATAACTACAGAACTTTGGATTCCTACGGTAACTATTACTACCAAAATTCGAGGTTTGTGCAATCTTTATGAAAATATGAGCAGAAACGAATGAATAAAAATAATGACGCAAGGGTGTTGGCATGGGTTGTTGATAAAGAAAATCACTCACACTTGTAAGTGGTTTCTTTATCTTGTAAGATACGGTGAGAAACCGATTAGTATATTTGTGTACCCAACAGGTACCTAAATAAGTGATGCTATCAAATAAATTATCAGTGTCTGTGGCGTGGACAAACCGTGCCATCTATGCCGTGAATCACGTAAAACCCCAAGATAATAATTCAAGTTTCATTTTCGGTTTATTGAATTGTTTTTTTTTTTAATTCTAGAAATAAAATAGGGTATAAATAACTAATCAATACACATTTAGTCGATCCAGGTAGCGCAGATGACAGTGATATCTGAATATCTGCATGGCGCAGAAAAGAACCTGGGTTGAAAAGTGGCGAAATTAGGCATTTTCATGTTGTGATGGTGGTACTGAAGGCGAAATTGAACCGTCACGTATTCTGGTCTATAACATTTAGATCTTCATCTCATAATTCATAATTTAACCAGGTTGTCATTTAGTAATTAATAATTACGTGCCATTCATAAGCAGCCACGCATAACAAAATTAATTAATAATAGCATCTGATCCCTAATTCTTGGTCACAAACATTCTTAAAAGATGGATCACAATAAGAAATATATGGAACGCGTTTTGAGGGAAGCAATATTTCCTTAGAGGTCATCCCTTTTGTGACATATCCCTGCCGTGTTCTAAAATGCTTTCAGCTTCTTACATAATGGCATCGCACCGCCACCGCTGCGTCATTCACGTATTTTGTGATATCGAGTGGCGTCAGCTGTTTCAATAGTATTTTGGCGATAGTCGATCGCATCTGAGGTCGAAACTAAAGGGAATGGGAGATTGCGAAAAATATTTCGATAGATATATCTCTGTAGTATGCAATTTCCCCCTATACATTCTTTGTCAAGAAAAAAATCATTTTCGAAACTTCTACTCGCCCTCGACGTTTTTCAAAATTTATTCTGAGACATTCTGTATTTTCCTCTTTTTAATAATCAAATGTAAGGACGTCAAACAGGACTCGGTTGCGGAAGGTATTGTAACAACGTTAATTTATTGTTGTTATTGTTATCAATATTATTATTCATTCAGTATATATTTTTTTTTATCTTAGAGTCCCTTCATCTTCCAAGGTCATTGAGGGTCGTGAGTAATATAACGAATATAGCTGCGATAGTGATGATGATAACAATAATGATGAGGTACATGATGATGAATGGAAGAACCCGAGAAAGCTTGGTGAACGTTCCTTCTGAGTACACCACACATTTTACAAGGATTGGCCGCAGATCAGCCTAAGCTCCACAGCGATGCAATGCCCTAGGCAGCGATATAAGGTACTGGACAGGCACGGACCCATGCATGAGCCCTGGAGCATCGTCCATGTATTCCCAACCGAAGGCTGCGTGTTCGAGTCTCGCATAATGAAAATGTGTTTTCATCATGTGATTGTAAGGGAGTTGGCGTCTAGCATCAACACATCTATACTCGTTCATCTATTGTCAATCACCCCCTGATAATTACTTCACCATCACTTATACTGTGGAAAACAAAGGGAAATCGTTATTGTAGTCACGATGCCACTCTGGGAAGGGGGCTGGTATTTTTATGACCTTGTTCTTCGGTTAGTTATTCGCCCCGGTTATAAACCTTTTTAATCAGTCACAGTACAATGTGGTTGAATTTGCGACACTATGTGCTCTCTTTCGTTTAGTTTTCTAGCTTCGATTCACACATTATCTTGGTGGTGTTCTGACGAGGGGTCTTGTCTGATCGATTGACACCTAAAGCAATGGTGATTTTTGAGTAAATTACCAAATAAATATTGGTTATTGGGTTGACTGGCATTTTTTTTGTTGTTTTCCTGTACGTTTGAAATATTAAAAGTTGAATCGATTCTACTCTTAGTTGTTCTTTTGTCCTTTTAGGAATTTGATATTCAATTTTTTTCATTTTAACCATAAAGAGTAAAAACGTGTTTGTATTCAAGTATGTAATAATTTTGCTGCTGAAACGATCTCAATGGTAATGTTTGTCCACAAACGCTTTTAGTACCGCAGTTGTAAATACGAGAATAAACCGAAGAAAAACTGGAATAACGTAAAACCGGTTGGTTATTTAACAAACGTCATTCCTATACCCCCTCACCGACACTTAAAAATTAGCATGGCTCACGACACTCAATAAAACCAGAGTTGCTACTAAATCAGTACGACTTGCCATTTCTTTGCCCTTGTCGAATGACTGGAACATAGTATAATGTTGTTATTTATCGCTGTTGATAAAATACGCCATATGGCATCAGCTTGGCCTGTAAGTGGAATGTTTTACATTTTCCTCACGGTATGTCAGTGGATCATTCTGGTTACAAACCAGTGATTGGTGCATGATTGTTACAAGACATTTTATCTCTCACTGGCATTAACTAACACCGGGTTCACCTAGCTCGTGATCAAATTCTCGCCTCATATTTTTTCTTGAATCTCGGCTCAGCACCGCGTGGTTCACTGCTTTCAGAAATATTTATGTTAGACTTATTTGGAGTCTGAAGTTGCCGTTCTAAGTAGGACTGTGATACCCAATGTTAAGAAAACGTTCATGTCTTGAACGTGGCTCTGGGGTACAAATATAATTTGCCTAAATAAGTCACTTAACTCTGTAGGGACATAAACAAAAGTTCAAACGATAGGGTATGATGCATTACATTAACCTTTTTTAAGCGTCTCTAGTTTGATTTTGAAATATACAAGTTAGTAAAATATTCAATTATCTGTTGTACCTTTAAACAAAATTAATTGTCCGTTTAGTTGAATGTGTTTGTCTTCGTTGTTGTTATAGTATAACTGTGTTTCAACATATTGCGTTCATAAGCTAAATGTATGATCGCTGAATCTAACATAATTTTTATTAAGGGCAAAGACGTTTCAATTTTCCATTACTCTAACATCCGGTACGTTGTGCTAGGGAAATACTGCTGCCGTTGACGTCAATGCCAGCAACGTGAAAAACGCTGACCTCTGCAAGCAACCGTAACAAATAAGCCTGTGCTCGCTCTTGGATGCGATGACCTCGGGTGCTAATGCGCAGGCCACGCGGACGAAGTCCAAGAGGCAGAGGAATTCGAAGTGATCGGCTTTCAATGCGGGCATTTGCTATCGACCAAGAGAATCCTTATTATCGCTGGAAGTGGAACCTTTCAATATCGTCACCTTGACGACCTTTTCCATCGCTAATTGTTTACTAGCAATGACACTGCTTAGTGATTATTGTTTTAAAATAGGTTGTTGCGGCATTCAGTCATGGTGAGAAACGAAAATAAACATTAATACAAAAACATAACCGAAAACTGTAACATAAGTAAAATAATTTCTAGTACAATGTATTTTTTTAAATTTTAAATTATTGATTTTAGTTGAGATGACACTCAGATAACGTAACCTGAGTAAGTAGGCCTATCATCTTCACTAAAAATCAGTAAGTTAAAATTTAAAAATATCTTTTAATTATTTTACTTGTGTTAAGATTTTAGGTTTTGTTTTGGTATTAATGTTGCTACCACTGAAGATGGGGAAAGTTCCCCGAAAGTAGTCTGGTACTATGTGTATAATGTGTTAAATACACCATTTTTACATATTGGCTCTGATTACCTCATTCACACACCTTATTTGTAGAATAGATTAACTCATATAATTGCATACTATGTATCGTACATTTTTTAAATACCTTGAATAAAACTATTATGTAATAATAATAATAATAATAATAATAATAATAATAATAATAATAATAATAATAATAATAATATTGTTCTACAGAATTGTAATTTTTGGGTGCAGTAAAATCAGTATTTATCAGATATTAGTTTAAAATTCAAATAGTTCTAAGGTATTATAAAAGCATTGATGTTATGGGGTGATGTTGTTTCTGCCACTAATCAGTTTTCAGCAACAGACACTTTTTCTTTAAAACTCTATTAAAAAGAATGGGGACATTTGTAGCTTTAGGTAAACTCTAGTGAATCATGTTGTTAGTAGACAGTTCTCTCCAAAGAGAGAGATATTACGTTACTCGAAGACAAAAGTTGCAAAGTTTCCATTAATACTTCGTTAATTTAGGGTATTCGGTTTTGAAGGAGAAGAATGCTGTGGGTATGGAAAGCCCGTAACGAAGCGGTCGACGAAAAAATAAAACACTGTTCAGCCGAAAATGACCGTTTATTAGATGTTCATAAATCCAAATTTCTTCATATTGTATACTTAGGAGTCGGTGTGGAGTCTTGTTCATGCAGCAATCTGCAAAGAAAACAGAAAGGAAAATGTTATATTTTTGTTAGTTTAAAATTCGAAAAAATATTATAATCCTCTAAAGTTATGTTTGCTCTGATTTCGCACTTAATGGAAACTTTTTCATGGAATTAATTTTAAATAGAAAATTATATTACAACAGTATTCGTTTTGGAGATGTCATTATGCAGTGTCTGAGTTTATATAACAATGCGTCAGGAAGAATGATCCGGGACTATTTTTACATTTTCGTATAATGAATTAGAATCATTTTTATGTCATCTACAACTATCCTTTGCCTAAAGAGTGTGATAGTGAGTTAATGAAATTTTGCAAATGAGATGGGCTCAAAAAAGAATTCCATCTGCTGCAAAATAAAGAACAAACAATTTTATTTATTTATCTAACGTCAAAAATATTTAAAACTGTCAAACTATTTTTTTAGTATTTGTCTACTATTCATTATTTCGGCAATGATGCAAATACCCTAAATAAAATTAAATTGACAATATTTTTACTCTGTAACTGGTTTATATGCTATATAAATGTGATATTCATTAAATGTTTAGAGTTGACGGCGAACCTGCAAGAGAAAAAGTTAGTTATGTTGAGTGGGCATGTGGTGTCAAATTCGTAAATGCTCAACAATTCATTCAATGTCGGGGACTGACAATGAACATGTAATGCACACCTCTGTCATTCGAAAAAAGAGCAACAAATGTCCAGTTAAGTTGTTCAATTAATTTTACGTTCGCGATATGAACGAAAGATCATTAAATCATTATACTTATAAACCTTAGCAGAATTGCTGATATGGTATCTGTAAAGAGATAAATGAAGTGCAAAAAAGTAAATCATCTGATTATTTGCATGCACTCTACGAATATCAAGATATAGATATCTGTGCGTACCGAACTGAATCTCTAACATCATTTTTAAGCTCGATTGAATCAATGCTTCAATCAATGCTAATTATCTAGTCAACAAATATACTTACTGTTCTCATGTTTGAAAAAATTGTAACTTAACGATTATAAAAAAAATTGTAAGCTCATAAGCCGCATGTTTCCCCTATGAGTATAGACAAAAAAACAATAAATTTTTCATCGAGGCTACATCCCCGAGTTATTAATATTTTGGTAACAATAATCTTCAGGTTAATAATGAGGTGGCAATAAATCATATTATATGATTAAATACAGGCTAGCGTCAATATTGCAATAAATGTGAAACCCCTCACCCACATTGAACAATGTCTTCACGGAACAACAACGTCGTGATTTAAATTTGGTTGAAATAGTGTAAGAAGTAACTCAGAAATCAAGTCAACTCAGAAATATGACGGAATGGGGGAAACTTTGTTGACATTTCACTTCAACCCTCCAGGGTGAAGGGTCTTTTAAGTCATTGGTGATATCTCAGATGATTGACATCATGATTCCAGAGAATAGTGACGCATTAGTCCAATCTTCGTAAAGCGTGCACGATCCCGAGCCTATTCTGTCGGATCAGATACTTAGAGGAGCGGGTACTGCATCAACGCAAGAACGACGTTACTATGCTGGCATATTTGTTACTTGAAGGATCGTTTACCTGAAGATTGTTAACTAGTTACTGGCGTAAATGTTATATCATGGTCACTCTCATACTTAGACATTTTAGATATAACAATGACCTGATTTCAGGGACAGCGCTACGCAAATCTAAAATAAGGTCATTTTAAGTAGTTAGGTAAATATTTTTCCAATGCATCCAGACACACATTAGACAACATGTTTACGCTGGCTCAGTGTTCTACAAAATATGAGTTATCAGTTGCAATTAAAAATGCGTTACTTTCTCCTGCTATAAAACTCTGGTTTCGTAGTTACGTCGTTGTTGTTCGGGATAGACAATATACTATGTTCGTTTCTTGAGATAGTTATCTTACAAGGTTTCAACTAACTATATGTCATTTCTTGACAAGAACGAACGAGGACGAAACGATCTCGGGGATGTAAAAGAATACTGGAGGTCGCAGAGCGAATTTCAGCAGTAAAATCCGGCTGAGTTGACTCGCAGTTAACACTGCAATTGTCTCTGCAGCAAACTTGGCCGAGAGATAATAGGGATCGACTGCTGATAGTGGCCGATATTCGCCACTAGCTAGATAACTAGGTCGCATTCAGCAACCATCTGGTTGAGAAATCTAGCAACCTGGTGCTCTGATTGGTTGTTTACCGAGGTTTCTTCGACCAACATCAGGAGAACGTCGGAGCAGTATACTAACAAACGGACCACGGAAAGTGCGCAATCTTTTTTTTTTAAATTTGTTGCGTCTTCGTTGACGCAACACGTCTCTGAATCCTTCTGAGGCTTTCAGCATCTAGCATGGAGTAATCCTTCATGAACATTTTCTCAAATCTCGTCACGTTCGCAGCCAGTCAGTGCCTCTTATCCCTTTGGTCAGGGGCTAGGCGCCGTTATTAATCGGGGTTCCCAGACGGTCGTCCGTCTGGGTGATCGTCGAATTGCTTAACTTCCGTGACCTCACGACGCGAAGTTAGGTAATTCGACTAACGACGTCGGCATCTTTCCTTCATGATATTTCCTTCCTGTTCCCTGTTCTATTCTCTTCCCTCATTCGCACACAGTGAAACGTTCATACCCTAAAATATCACGCATGTCGGTATCCAGTCAAGAGCTTAGATCTGGGGCGATGCCTTCCTGGGGAGAGATACCTGGAAAATAAACATCCCGCAAGCAAACGTGTATGTCGGTGTTGGATCTCACTATCTAGCGTGAGCGAAACTCTGCCCCCTTCGCGGATATAACATTCACTACATTAACAGGGTTAGTTATCATAGCAGTTGACGCGCAAGGAAACCAATGAATCAATGAAATTGCGAAGAATAACTATAATATAATGTTTCCAATGTTATTGTGATTAGAGGCCTGAAATTAAAGAAATGAGAACTATTTAAAGCTTTAATGAGCATATTAGTAACAAAAATATTTGTATTTTCGTTTGTCAATTTTATAACAAAGACGTTAATTTTTAAAGGGCATTAATTTTAACCTTGTAGCGAAAGAGATGTGTCGAGTCAGGGGCATGGTATTTTCTAATATTTCGCAACACTACCCCCATAGAATGGGGATAAATGACTCTCCTTACACTTCTAAAATGTGAAACATTCTGAAACACAATGTCTTCACACCAAATTAGATTTAAATCAAATTCAATTCGATTTTGCCTATATTTTAATCACCTATATAAAAATATACAGAAAAGTATAGTTGATCAATTGCATTATTAATTCGTTAATTACATACGTTAACTTTCCAATATATTGAAAATCATTAAATCAGTTGTCATCTATATAATTTTATCTCTTAAATTATTGTAATGTGTAATTGTTTTATTATTTTTTTAATGTAAAATATGTAGAATTAATAACTGATTTTAACAACACATTTTTCTTTGTAAAAATTATTACTTATGTAAAGTATTTTTTAAAAAGAATAATTACTTTTTAAACCAAATATTGTTCACATTACTGACAGAACTGAACTCTTACGAATTTTGAAAGTCCCAAATTGTAATAATAGATTGGACGAAAGAAACTTGATTGTAAAGAAAACTTTCTCTTGAGCTAATTGCTAGGAGTGGATCGAAATAGTTTGCTCACGTTCATAGAATGTACTTCTCCCAATATGTCACATACATATTTAAACTTTTTACATTAAATAAAGTAAATAAATAAAGTTCTTCTCTAGTCACTTTGAAGGTGAAGTAATTTTATACTTTTCAAATATATCAATAGTAAAATATATTAAAGTAAGTAGGAATTATAATTACATCTTATCACTTATCAAAATTAAAGAACGAACCCACCCTTTACGGAGCAAGATAAAGTAGAGAACGAAAAATTATGATTATTGAGTTATGCGGCATGGCCTGAGATCCGACAATGAAATCGTGTATTTTATTTATAAAAACACACACAATAAACAACGTCTGGATCTCAGCACCATGGGAGCACCTCGTAACGTGGTTTAAATCGAAAATAATTGTAAGAAGTCCAGAGAGAAGAGAGCGAGAGAAGAATTGCAGAGAGGTATCTTGGGCATGCTCGTACTCGAAGGGCGTACTGGACCGGTGCAAATAAATCATTATTTATTTAACATCCATAAAGTAACTAATTAATCATTATTTATTTAACATTCAGAAAGTTAAATCTGTGTGTGACGTATGGGGAAAAGTGCAACCTGTTCATGCTTTCCTGATCTCCAAAATGTATGCCCCCGCTGTTACTATATTAAGTTGAAACGAATAAAAGTAGAAAAGAAAATTTGGGAACAATGGTTTAAAAAAAATATTTTAGCTCCTGTGTATATCCTGTATAAGTAATTTTCGATGCACCCAGCAATTGAAAGAAAACTATGCAGGCCCCGGTCATGCCAGAAGTGTGTATGATTTTGTTAGAAATCCAGGAACTCGAAAAAATCCCCAAAAAATTTAAGAAATCGATATTCTCTGAAAAATACAAATATTTTATTGTGTATTCGGACGATTTTATAATTCCGGTATGTAAAGAAATGCTGTACACTTATACTATATTATATTTTTGCAGTACTGACGAAGACATTTAGTTAAAGTATTAAATTTGTTGGTGTGTTATACGAAAGTAACTAATGTACTATTCTTGAACAGTGTGCATGCTTCATTTTTGAAAACCATTTTGTGTGGGTTTGTTCAGCAGCATTTTTGCTTCTGCAGGCCACTGGTAGAAACGAATTGCATCGCCAAATCTACTACCGAATTTTTTCTCTTATCTCATATCGTGTCCCGTGTAAAGGAACCTACTCACAACCTCGAGATCATGGCGAACAACATTTTCCAGAATACTGTTGACGAAATAACTAAATTGCCCTCTGCCACCCGACAGAGCTCAAGAAAACGTGCGCCGATAGTGGAACAACATGCATGTTCAGCAGCAAAACAAGGCTCTTTCCAGCATTTTCTCAATGGATAAAGGGAAACTGAATCAAAAAAACAGATCGAGACGAGTATTAGGGCCCCCCGCATACGAGCGTTGCCTTGACGCGCGTTAAGTAACGTGCGTCGTAGAATAAGTGAATTTTGTGCGAAAAGGCACACGGACGCTTTGCTCGTTCCGCATATATAGAGTGTTAATCTACAACGCGCGTTACTTATCGCTCGTCAAACGCGCGCAAACGCCACGCTCGTGTGACACATGTCTCGATGCCCCGCAAGGCCGCCATCGCAGCGTACCTCTAAGAACTCTTCTGCAGATACTTCATGAGCGCGTCCAGGCTGTCGCGCGACGCGGCCTCGGCCTGCTGAGGCTTGGGGCTGCCGAAGTTCAGGATGCGGCCGGTCTTCACCAACTTCTGGCTACCGTTCTTGCCCGTGCGCCAGTACACGGTCTGCACGGCGGAGCGGCCGGCGATGTAACGGGTCACCTGTCCGATGAGCATGGTGATGAGCTGAGCGGGCTTGAGACGGGCTCGAGAATGCTCGACCCCGGTCGCCCCCTCTCCTTTTATGTGCAGTGAGAAAGCTCTTTATCGAAGCTTCCACTTCAGAAGTTGCGGTGTTGGCGGTGGCTTGGGAGAGAAGTGTCTTCGGTGAAGATAATTAAAGAATGAGTTCGCGGCACGTGCTCTCTCTCTGCTGCTTTACGGTGCACGATTTGAGCTGTTGAAAGGAATCAAGACATGAAATGTACAACATCGTATATACGAGGACATTGATTACTTTGATTGCTTTGAAGGCTGATTCGTTTTTTAAAGCACTGAAGATACATAATATATCTTGTAGAGTATTTTTTTAGAAATCAAATCAATATATTTAATGGTCTATTGAAAATACTACAGACTATTTTCTAGCTCGTGATTCAATTAGAAATATGTCTTGCTGACAATGTTAACAATATCCGTTCCTCTAAGCTAACTCAACAAGGAACCAAACTAAGTAAAGACGGGAGCGCCAAATCACCCCGACTCGAGGATTCGCGCCTGCTACTTAGATGTTGGTGTCTGTTCGTCTATTGTATCTACATGTCTGATAAGACTAACAACTGTAGTATAAAACTAGTCACGTTGAGGAAAGCATCTCCTCCCATAAACTTGAAGTATAAAATTAAAGCTTCTCTGATAAAAGGCTGAAACAAATATCCTACAAGCACGGCGCATGCAAGAGTTACGCAGAACGAAATCCAAATAGTCGTTATTTTTGAAGAAAATTGTGTATTATAAAAAACAAAATGTCTCCCACGTTTCTCTTCAATATTTTATCTGATTTGTCATGACATCTCTTTTTTCTGAATTATCAAACACGCTATACACTCCTGAAGAGAATTAAGACCTCAGAGGCATTAAATACAGTACCTTCAGTTTTGTCAACCACTACACAAACTATATTTTTGTAGGAATATTTATTTCACATTTTGATTTCTGAGATAGTGAGAGTGACTAGAAAGATATCATAGCCTAGTAGAATTTGCAACAAACTTAAAGTTTAGTTCTTGTTTTGTTTTCTTTTTACATATTTGACATTTGGAACCATAATAAATAAATGTTTACCATTCTGTAGTAACTGTCACTGCTGTTAGTTATCGTTTGCCTGCCTTTCTTCTTGTTTCCCTGATTTACCGCTCACTTGCAGCGCTCAAAATTCCTTGACAGCATGCATTTCTTTCAGTATGACAATCACTATCGAGCAGTGAAAAAGTGAACGAAAGTAAGTAATGTTGCTTCAGCGCATCGAAGCGCTTCGAAGCACTTTCGAAGAGATTCTGTTATCCTGTCACCGTGTTTTGAAGACTATCTTCTTTTCCAAGGTATTTCTGGTTTATAATATATAATCACAAACACCAATTACAATTCTTTTTTTCTTGTATGTACATATGCAGGAGTGTGTAGATGTGATTACAGATTACATTTTTTAAAATTTCATTCAAAACTGTTTAACTGTTTAAATTTAACTGTTTTGACGTAATTAAATAAAACCTGAATCAATAAAAAACCGTTGATTTGATGTTGAAGATGTTTTCAATATTGATCGGGTAATATACATATTCATGTATATTTAAAAAATGTCAATGAGAATAGCAGCATTTCAACAAGAGATTATATTGAAATATCGTTTCTTGTATCGCGCATTGAGTTTTCATAGCATGTTGTGTAACAGATTGTTACGCATGGACCTTGTCTGCAGACTTAAATCATTGACGATCTGCGACTCTTTCTTCTCAGAGAGAAGGTTCGGCGCTCGACCTCGCCAAAAGCGCGCGATCCCACACCACTTTATCACAACGGACCGTCATTCAAGAGCGAGCACGAGGGAAGAGACATTTTCCACGATACTATGAATGCACAAGACACGTGACATGACTGTCAAATTGTCATCTTTAAGTGAAACAAAAAATGTTTAAGAAAGTAGAAAAATTGTATTAGTTACTCTTTTATGAAGATAGTTCACAAAACAGTCAGTATATGGAATAAACTTTGACCAAGTGAAATAGTTAACTATATAAAGTATTTGTCGGAAAAATAAATGGTTCCGCTCAATTAAAAAAAATAATTAGATATGGCGCGAAATGTGGCTGTGTTTTACCATAGTTTTTAGATATCGTTTGTTTAGCCACGGCCGTCCCAAAATTTACCTTACAAATCAAGTTTTAGATTTTTGGTGCTCAAAGAAAACAAGTTAAAAAAGTGTTACCTGATGGTTGGCATGCAATTCAGTTATTGAGAACTATTGAATTCATTTATTATTGTATTATTTCCCGATGTTTCGTTATTAATTGAACACACTGAATTGAGTATGACATTAATAAGATCAATATCCGTACATCATACCAAATGATCCGTGTCACGTATCAAAACCTATAGAGTATAGTAGGGTTAAAGTAGGGTACACGGTACACCCTGAGAGAAGCGCGGAGGGGGTTTTCTTGTGCCTTCCTCAAATAACGCCACGCGCCCTTATAGAAATGTATAAAACTTACGGATATGCGATTTTCATGGCTCGCCTTTCATACGCTTTGTCTCCGTCACATTATAATGCCAATTTACTTTCAACGGCAAGTTTTCTCGCTTCGCTAGCCCGGATTCAAGTCGAGGCTCCGGACTTCGGCCCTCGCGTCCACTATCCTTGAGTCTATCCACTGTATAATTACCAATTCACTTTTATAAGAAAGCACTTTTCACGAAAGCCTCCAGAATTCGAACTGCGCAGTTACCGCCCGAGCGGCGCGAAATCGGTTTAAATGACTTCAGTAAGTTGGACCGTAAACTAGAAATATACTTCTAGGATACAATGAGTAGTAAGTTTAGGTTTAACTAATTTTGTGAAGGGAATAATCGATTAAGAGGATAATCCGATGTTTTTCTTTGTTGTTGTGGTTGTAGTTTTTTTGTTGTTGTTGATGTTATTGTTTTTAAAATAAAAAAATTGACATGGAAATAGTAACAAGTACACATTTTCAACTGAACTAGAATTAACTGCTATTTAAATTATTTGAGAGTGTGAAATAAATTACTGGAATTTCGGAAGGAATTTGTACATAATTTATTTTGAAGACTTAACTGCTTCAGTCATTAGAATCCGAACTTCGAGAAACATCGACAGTAATATCATAATTGTAACTCTTTTTAGTTTTGTAAATGTCAAATCTCAATAATTTGGGTGTCATCTTGTAGACGAAGCATTTTCATCCTGTCATTGGTTGTTATCATCTCCTTACATCCATACGATATTGCAGCTTCGTTGTCGCGATAACAAATAGTCACAGCGACATTCAATCGCTGAGTCCTTGACAGACAGGTCGATTTGCCATTTTTACATTCTCATCTGTCTTATAAGAGGAAGTATTGTAATCGTGCGCCGAATTTTCGACAGAGGAAAGTTTTAATGCCTGGCTCTGGTAAGGAAAAAGTTGATCTTGTTCCTACTTGAAGTAAATTACTTATTCTGACATGTTGTGTAGTCAGAATCCATGTCTTGTGGGTCCATGATAGCGAAAATTCGATTGTTAACAAAACGCATGTCTAGGGTGAACACTAACGCCTAAAAAGTTTAGCCTATTTTCTACATACTGGTATTTCCTGATCCATCTAAAGACGAACGCAAGGTCCTGAGAGTGTGAAACGGATATTTTGAGTTTGAGGGTTCTCTACATAGGGCCTCAATATTTTCAAACTTTTTCAAAAATGTCTGCAAATTTGTTTATTAAACTTTATCATCGGATAGCGTAAAGAACTCTTAAAATGTTCTTACAACTCTTAAAAGTGTGCTCAAAGCATTTTGTACGAAAATTCTTTTTACGTAATTAAAACACACGATTCTTATTAGAACTTCGAAACAATGCTCTCGTTCCCGCAACTCATTCTTCGCTTTCGTTCTCCGACCTGGCAACGTCTAGGTCGATTCATTACGATAAAAAAAGACCAAATATTCGACACCGAAAATGATACTTCAATATGCAAACTTCATTATCATTTATTGTTCGAAATTTTCAGTAATATGTTTACGTCTTTTCTCCGAAACTAGTGTTCCTCGTTCTACCCTTGCAGGTCATGAAGTGGGCCATTACTCTGTTGTTTTCTTTGTGAGAAGCTAATTCTGGCATATTTTGTCCAATGCCAAGATCTCATCCAAAAATGCAGAAGGATGGGTTTCGAAAGTATGGAAACGTTCATAGACAGTACTTCCATCCTATTCCACACAATACACAATATTATTTTTGTTTACTTTCTCGCTCTTACGAAGATAAGAGAAAGTATTGTAATCGTGCGCCAAAGAACGGCGAAGTTTCGTAGAAAAACTCTCATTGCCGCGCCCTAGATGGATAAATGGATAAATCTTGATCCTTACGTGCTATAACACGCGGTGTAGCCAGAATCCATGTTTTGTGAGTCCTTGCTACCGATTGACGCCAAAAAACTGATTAACGCCAAAACGTCCGTCCGTCTGTACTCAACACTAAACCGTTTAACCGATTTTCCAAAATTTATATTCCTCAATCGATCTGGAGCAACTCGAGGCTTTGGGAATTTTGAAACATATTTTGATTTTTGAGGGTACTTTACATGAAGCCTGAAAAACATTTTCAATATTTTAACAATGGCTCCACATTTTGAAAAAAATTAAATTTGACCTCGGATAGCGTAAATGACGTATGAGGTTTTATCCGTTGAAATCCCTCAGTTTTCGGAAATTGCAAAACTGCAATTTTTTTTGGAGTGGTTGCTAAAATTACAATATTGAAGAGAGATTTTTTTAATGAAAACTGTTCTTTAAATACAGATCTTCAAATAAAGTCAGGTACAATTTCTTGAAAATATGAGTAATTTTCGTGTAATTATCGTTAATTTTCTATTGTGGATCTAACCGTATATTCATAACATGGGCAAGTCCCTTTGCCCGAGCGTTTTAAATGTAAAACCTCGTGAAAAATACTTTAAGTTTGTTT